ACAACAATAAACTGAGGCAGAATGATGAAATTATAAAACTCTTATCTGAAGTTACTCTTGACTTGGAACTAGAATTTATCAGTCCTTATAAAAAAAAACCTCCTTCAATTTGCTTATTTCATAGTAAATAACCTATCTGGTGACTTTCAAAATGCCTGTTGCTCATCATTCTCTTTCTAGTGCAAAGCTTACTTTAACCATTCCCTTCCTATCTTTTTTTCCTAAAAAAAAGCACATGAAACCAAATGATCTGTTCATCCTTGTTTGCTCCCAGGAATATTTACCCAAATGGTGTAAAATTTTCTCCATATACATTTGAGTGATGTTGGGTTGTCAGTGGTCTATGGCTAGATATAAAAGGTGGCATCTTAAAAATGTGCATTCACTTGTATCTCTTTGTATTCATTCCCAGAATGCACAACTCGCCCAACAGACATTGTGTTCTTGATCGATGGCTCGGGTAGCATTGATGGGGCAGACTTCGAACGGATGAAGCAGTTTGTTTCTCAGACCATCAAGAGACTCTCTGGCAGAGACACACGGGTAATGGGCACCTAGGGAGTGCCATGCTATGGGTCAGCATTGCCCAGTTTTGTGGTGGGTTAGGTCATGTACTGTTATGATGTGAATGTTGGATGACATGCAGCATAACTTTTTAAGGCATGAATGGAGTCTCCGGTTGCGAAATGGGTTAATGCCTCCTTACAGGAAGGAAAATTTCCAGCGAGCTTAAAACAAGCTATTATAAAACCGCTGTTGAAGAAACCATCACTGGATCCCACTCAATTCGACAACTATCGGCCAGTTTCCAATCTCCCCTACTTGGGCAAAGTCATGAACGTGTGGTGGCAACACAACTCAGGGGTTTCTGGTAGACACTGATTATCTGGATCCGGCACAGTCTGGCTTTAGGCCGGGACATGGAACTGAGACAGCCTTGGTCGCCTTGGTAGATGATCTTCGCAGGGAACTGGACAGGGGGAGTGTGTCCCTGTTAGTTCTGCTGGACCTCTCAGCGGCTTTCGATACTGTCGATCACGGTATCCTTCTGGGTCGCCTCATGGATATGGGGCTCGGGGGCACTGCTTTGCAGTGGCTCCGATCCTTCCTTGAGGGACGGACCCAGAAGGTGTTATTGGGTGACACCTGTTCGGCCCCACAACCGTTGTTGTGTGGAGTCCCACAGGGTTCAATTCTGTCCCCGATGTTATTTAACATCTACATGAAGCCGCTGGGAGAGATCATTCGGAGTTTCGGACTAAGATGTTATCTCTACGCAGATGATGTCCAAATCTGTCACTCCTTCTCACCTGTCACCAAGGAGGCTGTCCAGACCTTGAACCGGTGTTTAGCCACTGTATCGGACTGGATGAGAGCTAACAAATTGAAATTGAATCCAGACAAGACAGAGGTCCTACTGGTCAGTCGTAAGGCCGAACAGGGTATAGGGTTACAGCCTGTGTTAGACGGGGTTACACTCCCCCTGAAGACACAGGTTCGCAGCTTGGGAGTGATCCTGGACTCATCGCTGAGCCTGGAACCCCAGGTCTCAGCGGTGGCCGGGAGAGCTTTCGCACAATTAAAACTTGTGCGCCAGCTGCGCCCGTACCTTGAGAAGCCAGATCTGGCCACGGTGGTCCACGCTCTTGTCACATCCCGGCTGGATTACTGCAACGCACTCTACGTGGGGTTGCCTTTGAAGACTGCTCGGAAACTACAACTAGTCCAGCGAGAAGCAGCCAGATTGCTCACCGGAGCGACGTACAGGGAGCATACACCCCCCTGTTGCGTCAGCTCCACTGGCTGCCGATCCAATTCCGAGCACAATTCAAAGTGCTGGTTTTGACCTACAAAACCCTATACGGTTCCGGCCCGGTGTATCTGTCCGAACGGATCTCCCTCTACGTCCCACCTCGGAGCTTAAGATCTTCTGGGGAGGCCCTGCTCTCGACCCCGCCACTGTCACAAGTGAGGCTGGCGGAGACGAGGAGCAGGGCCTTCTCAGTGGTGGCCCCTCACCTGTGGAACTCACTCCCCGGGGAGATTAGATCATCATCTTCCCTTTTGGCGTTTAGGAAAAAACTGAAGACCTTGATCTGGGATCAAGCCTTTGGTCATTCTGACAGCTAACTGAAGGAGCTGATGATAGACAAGGACAAATGGAATGGAATGGATATATGGACTCTGAACCCTGAGCATGAGACTGTTTTATTATTTTTATTATGTACTGATGTTTTTAATTAATTGTTGAATTGTTTGTATTTGTATTGCTTGTGAATTGTTTTGGGCATCTAATTGTGCCCCCACTGTAAGCCGCCCTGAGTCCCCCCCGGGGTGAGAAGGGCGGGGTATAAGTAAATGAAATAAATAAATAAAATAAATAAATAAAGAGTGCCCCTGGGCAAAATTGCTGACCAAAAGGTCAGCGGTTCAAATCTGGGGAAAGCAGGTTGAGTTCCCTCTGTCAGCTCCAGCTCCCCATGCAGGGACATGAGAGAAGCTTCCCACAAGAATGGCAAAACATCAAACACTTTTAGGGCGTCCCCTGGGCAACATCCTTGCAGATAACCAATTGTATCATACCAGAAACAACTTGCATTTTCTCAAGTTGCTCCTGTCATGAAAAAAAGGCATGGATCTGCAACTCATACTTATTCTTTTTTTAATGTGATTAAATGAATAATAAGTTGGAATCATTGGTCTTGATTTCCCCTGGGAATCCACCTTTTTCAGCTCTGCAACCTAATATCAGGTGTAGACCACTATGTAGATGTTTATCTTAGCACGACACTAGGGGGTGCTGCAATACTAAGGCAGTGGTTCCCAAACTTTTTTGGTCATTGAACCAAGACTTTTTTTCTATGTTACCCTAACTCTGTCTCAATTTTCCTGCTGAATCCTAACTCTGTCCCTAAGCACCTGAAGACACAAAGCCCTTCCATCTACTTCTATTACCTGGGTGGTTTTTGTGACGTAGGTTTGGAAATAAAGATATTCAATTTTTTAAAAAGCAGAGGTACATTAAATTTCAATACGAACTTCATACTCTGGCATTCCCCCCTACCCGGTGGCGCAGTGGGGTAAACCACTGAGCTGCGGAACTTGCTGACTGAAAGGTTGGCGGTTTGAATCTGGGGAGCGAGGTGAGCTCCCACTGTTAGGCCCAGCTTCTGCCAACCTAGCAGTTTGATAACATGCAAATGTGAGTAGATCAATAGGTACCGCTTCTGCAGGAAGGTAATGACGCTCCATTCAGTCATCCTGACCACATGACCTTGGAGGTGTCTATGGACAACAGCGGCTCTTCGGCTTAGAAATGGAGATGAGCACCACCCCCCCAGAGTCGGGAACGACTAGACTTAATATCAGGGAAAGCCTTTACATTTACCCTTACTCTGGTATAGACTTTAAAAAGATTTTTTTAAAAAGATTAGAGTTTCTATGATGCTTTTGTGAAACTCTAGGGTTCTGCGGGACAGAACTTGGAAACTGCAGTTACGAGTATACAAGGAACCTGTGATATCAACCAACTTTAGTTCAACTTTAGTCCCCTCGAGAAGATAGGGCATAATATAAATGATGTTATTTATTTTATTAATTAACTCAATCACTTTTATTTTATAGATCAATGGAGCTTTGATATAAAATGTCCATCTTCTATAGATTGGAGGAGTGACTTAAAGATTCTTGTTGTTATCAAAAAATCAGTTGTCGAGAAATTGTTTCTTCTGACAAGTGTGCATGTGTCCTTTTTCTTTATACAATTCTTAAAAGCACAGACTCTATACAGTATTTTGACAATTCATGCAGAAAAGAATGGGTAAAACTTAGTGTTCCTGGGCAATATCCTTATTTGAAATGTATGTGAAATGTGAAACTAATTGAAGATCCTCTGATTTCAATGTGGGCAGAAGTATAATATGGATGGAATTTAACTGTGAATGTTTTTAGTGCTGTTTATGTTTAATTCTGTGTGAATATATGCATATTTGAATATTTTAAATTGTATACTATTGCTTTTATGTCAAGCAGCTTTGAGTTCCCTTTATAGAGATAAAGTGGAGTATAAATAAATGTAATAATAATAATAATAATAATAATAATAATAATAATAATATACTTTGAGTTGTAAGTTTTTGGGCTATATGGCCATGTTCTAGAAGCATTTTCTCTTGATGTTTCACCTGCATCTATGGCAGGTATCCTCAGAGGATGTAAGGTCTGTTGGAAACTAAGAAAATTGGGTTTATATATCTGTGGAATGTTTATATATCTGTGGGAGAGTTCTTTCTCCCACCCTGGACATTCCACAGATATATAAACCCAATTTTCCTAGTTTCCAACAGACCTCACAACCTCTGAAGATTCCTACCATAGATGCAGGTAAAACATCAGGAGAGAGTGCGTCAAGAACATGACCATATAGCCTGAAAAACCTACAACAACCCAGTGATTCCAGCCATGAAAGCCTTTGACAATATATACTTTATTTACTGTATTTATATTCTGCTCTATCTCCCCGAGGGGACTCAGGACAGATTACAGAACACATATATGGCAAACATTCAGTGCTATAATACAATTGACAAGGACAGACAGTACATAAACAGGGCTATAGATTTTTCCCATGTTTGTCCATCTCCAGAATCTGGAGACTGCGCTCACCTCTGGCCACAGGGGTGCTGTCGTTCCATCTTTCATGCCGAGGAGCTTTTTGTTGTCTGTAGACCACTGGTTCTCAACCTGTGGATCCCCAGATGTTTTGGTCTTCAACTCCCAGAAATCCTAACAGCTAGTAAACTATATTGTCGAAGGATTTCATTATATAAAACCATTTTCCTAGTTCCAACAGACCTCCTTACCTCTGAGGATGCTTGCCATAGATGCAGGCGAAACGTCAGGAGAGAATGCTTCTAGAACATGGCCATATAGCCCAAAAAACTTACAATAGCCCAGCTGGTAAACTGGCTGGGATTTCTGGGAGTTGTAAGCCAAAACCTGTGGGGGACTCACAGGTTGAGAACCACTGCCATAGACGACCTCCAGATTGAATCGTTGGCATGTCCTTGTGGGTGCCTTTTATTGCCTCACTACTTCAAGCGGTACCTATTTATCTAATCACATTACAGTTTTCGATCTGCCAGGTGGGCAGAATCTGGACTTACAGCCAGAAGCTCACCTCGAGCTGGGCTTGAACTGTTAACCTTTTGATTGGCAAGATTTTCTGCAGCTGGCAGCTAACCTGCTGTGCTAAAGCCTGGCCAATAATAATTATTATTATTCAAGTAGATGGCCCATGTGGGGTTGGACTAGATGTCCCATGTGGTCTCTTCCAATTCTATTATTGTATGATTCTATGATTCTATTGGTGACATCTAAACAATCCCTTCCAGTTGTAACACTTGAACTATGAGTGAGACAAGTAGATCATATATTTCTAGCATCCTGCAAACATCAATCCTTTACAGGAAAGTGATGCATTTGCATAGTAATGGGGAAAAGGTTGCAGTTTAATGATAAAGCCAGAATTTGAAAGCCCCCCCCCCCCCCGGCAGAAACCCCCTAGCCAGCAGAGATATTAGTGCCTGACAAGTGATTGTTCTGAATCCACTAAATCCACTAAGAAACAGCTATTGGCCATAACTACTAACCGTGTTTTCTTCTTCCTTGTGTCAGTTTGCCCTCATACAGTTCTCAGACAAATACCTGGAACACTTTAATTTCAACAGCAAAGACCCAGAGCAACTTGTTCTGGATATTTATCAGGTCAGTGGATGGACCCGAACAGCTACAGCCATCCGAAGAGTTGTGTAGGTCTCTCTTAGCCATATCATCTTACTCCTCTCTTCTTTCCTTCTGTCTCTTGTCTTCTCCTTTGTACAATCAATTGAATCATCATTTTTCTTTCTTTCCCTCTCTCTTTACAAGGCGGGAACTGTTCACCTCAGAGAAGGGAGCTCGGAAAGGAGCCACCAGGATTCTTATTGTGATAACAGACGGGGTGAAGACTGACAACCTTCAGTACTGGCAAGTGATTCCGGAGGCTGAGCAAGCAGGGATCATCCGCTATGCTATTGGGGTGAGGATTTAGCAAGGGTGAGCATTCGCAGGATTTTGATTTGAGCAGTTTCACATATAAACAAAAAACCAAGATTTTGGCAACCGGACTGATTGATCCTTGGCAAATAGAGGGAGAAAACATGGAGGCAGTGGCAGCCTGCGTATTTCTAGGTGCAAAGATTAGTGCAGAGACAGACTGCAGCCAGGAAATCAGAAGATGTTTCCTTCTTGGGAGGAGAGTAAGGACCAATTGCGATAAAATAGTTAAGAGTAGAGACATCACACTGGCAACAAGATCCACATAGTTAAAGCAGTGGTATTCCCCATAGTAACCTATGGATGTGAGAGCTGGACCATAAGGAAGGCTGAGCAAAGGAAGATAGTTGCTTTTGAACTGTGGGTTGGAGGAAAAAGTGCCTTGGACCACAAGAAGATCAAACAAGTCCATCCTCCAGGAAATAATGAATGCTTTTGTGAATTGCTCTGAGTTGCCCAAGGGCTGAGAAGAGTGGTATACAAATGTAGTAAATAATAATAATAATAATAACCATACCAGGGGAAAAAAGCCTGGCTGCTCACTGGAGGGAAGGATATTAGAGGCAAAGATGAAGTACTTTGGCCACATAATGAAAAGACAGGAAATCTTGGAAAAGAGAATGATGTTGAGGAAATTTAAAGTCTTTATATAGTGTCAAGATCTAGGCAAGTAATGCTACCCCCCATTCTGCTTTGGTTAGACCACACCTGGAATATTGTGTCCAATTCTGGGCACCACAATTCAAGAGAGATATTGACAAGCTGGAATGTGTCCAGAGGAGGGCGACTAAAATGATCAAGGGTCTGGAGAACAAGCCCTATGAGGAGCGGCTTAGGGAACTGGGCATGTTTAGCCTGAATAAGAGATGGCTGAGAGGAGATATGATAGCCATGTATAAATATGTGAGAGGAAGCCACAGGGAGGAGGGAGCAAGCTTGTTTTCTGCTTCCTTGGAGACTAGGAGGCAGAACAATGGCTTCAAACTACAAGAGAGGAGATTCCATCTGAACATGAGGAAGAACTTCCTGACTGTGAGAGCCGTTCAGCAGTGGAACTCTCTGCCCCGGAGTGTGGTGGAGGCTCCTTCTTTGGAAGCTTTTAAACAGAGGCTGGATGGCCATCTGTCAGGGGTGAGTTGAAAGCAATATTCCCGCGTCTTGGCAGGGGGTTGGACTGGATGGCCCATGAGGTCTCTTCCAACTCTTTGATTCAATGATTCTAGGATTGGACACAGAATAGATAGTGACTTTACAGGTATTAGACTGGTAATAGTATCTTTGAAGTGACTGGCTTGACTTTGAAGGAGATGGGGGTGGTGTCAGCTGTCATAGAGCTCTGGTGTGGGCTGGTCCATGAGCTCCCGAAGAATTGGAAGTGACTGAACAAATAAACAAAAACATGTAAACCCACTAATTATATTTGAGAATGGCCATTTCCTTGGTTATGTGCACACATTTGTATGTACATGATCATGTTGTCATTCTCTCCTTGAGTCAATGTCTGTCCTCTACTATGAAACCCCCTAAAACCTATTATTATTATAATCATCATCACCATCATCATTATTTATATCCCGCCTTTCTCCCCATACGGACTCAACACCACACAATTTTTTATACACACACACACACACACACACACACACACACACACACACAGATATAAAGTTAGAATTCCAATGAAATACAATAAATACAATTTAAAATTACATTTAAAAAATTCACCATCCCCACAATATCCCACTCACAACCTCCCTAGCAGTGTGTCCCCCATCCTCTCCCAAATGCCTGATGGCAATTTTTTTTTTGTCTTCACCTGCTTGAGAAAATCCTGGTTTCTCTTGGGAGGGAGTTCCAGCCAAACATAATTGAGCAGGCGGTGGGACAGAGAGAGGGTCCTCCTCAAATGATCATAAATTCCTAACAAGTTCATAGAGAGGCATACTGTCCTTCAAATAACCTGGACCTAATCCATATAAAACTGAGCAAATTATATTGGGGGGGGGGGGAATACACAGTGCTCACATTTTTCTATATCCTCCTGAGCTTTGCCTTTCTTATCAATGCTAGACATACCTGAATCTGTGATGGTCTTCTCTCTTTTTTCCCTGTGAAAGGTGGGTGATGCTTTTTCGAGATCCAATGCCAGGCAGGAACTGGACGACATTGCCTCTGAGCCAAAGGCAGAGCATGTCTTCACGGTGTACAATTTCAATGCTCTCAAAGGCATCCAGGACCAGCTGCAGGATAAGATCTTTGCCATTGAAGGTACCATAAGGGCTCTGAGCAAAGCCACCTCACAAACCTGTCCTCCTTTGGGCATGTAATGGGTTTGGGGTAGGTGAACAAGTTTCCTCAGCCTTGTGGAGAAAGTCTTGTCATATTGGAAACAACGATCAAGTGTCATGAGACTTTTACCGCACTGTGAAAATTGAAAAGAACAGCTTCCCCACCCCATTGGCAACAATACTAGTAAACATTGACTGAGATCCTGCATCATCAAATGTACTGTGATTGAGTCATGTCATTGGTGGAAACTTTGTGGAGTGTTTTGGGTTTTGCTTGTTTTATGAACTGACAAATATCTTCTCTGCTTCCTCCCTTCAGGTACACAATCTCAGAGCACCAGTTCCTTCCAGATGGAGATGTCTCAGGAAGGATTCAGTGCTTTGCTGACACCAGTGAGTCACTTCCACCCTCTGAGCATGTCCAAAGTCCACATCAATGAATTCTAAAGATGCCCTTAGATGACTCAAATGTGTCAGGAGGCTGCAGTATTTGCTGCTGTATTTCTGAGGGCTTCTTAATATATCCAAACAACATGTTGTCCTGGTCTATTTTCTGGAAATAACTGGCACCAGCAGCAACATTTTCATTTCCAAGAGCTGTTAGAACAATATATTCCCTTCTCTTCTCCTTCATTCTTTTTTTTTTTATAGTGATAATGCTATGGTTCACAAGTGAAATAGTACATTTGCACTTTGGTTTTGTGTGTTTTCAAGCCATTTCTGACTTCTGTTGATTCTAAAGTAACCTTATCATAGGTTTTTCTAGGCACAATTTGATTAGAGGGGATTGTCATTGCCTTCTGAGAGAGTGTGACCTGCCTAAAGCCACAAAGTGGGATTCCATGGCCAAGTAGGAATTCAAACCTTGTTGTCCAGAGTTCTGGTCCAACACTCAAAACACTACAAAACGTTGGCTTTGTTTTTGCAATATAACACTATATAGGCAATTCCCAAGTTACAAGATAGGTTCTGTAGTTTTGTCCTTAAATCAAATTTTTATGTAAGTCAGAACAAGTAAAAAAAAAGTAACTCCAGTCTCAAATCTCAATTAGGACTTGGCCTAATTGCAATCATAGCTAGCATATAGCCAATTGTAAAGGTTTTGATTCTCTTTGTTGTTTGGTGCAGGAAGGCCCTGTTGTAGGAGCTGTGGGATCCTACGACTGGACTGGAGGAGTGATTCTGTACCAGAATAGCAACAGAAACCCAAGTTTTGTTAATATTTCTAGCGCTGCTAAGAGAATGGACAATGCGTACCTTGGTAAGTGTGAAAACCCAATCTCCGCTATCTCTTGCCTAATCTAGAATCATAGAATCAAAGAGTTGGAAGAGACCTCGTGGGCCATCCAGTCCAACCCCCTGCCAAGAAGTAGGAAAACCGCATTCAAAGCACCCCAACAGATGACCATCCAGCCTCTGTTTAAAAGTCTCCACAGGGAAGATAGTTCCACTGCTGAACAGCTGTCATAGTCAGGAAGTTCTTCCTAATGTTCTGATGGAATCTCCTTTCTTGTAGTTTAAAGCCATTGTTCCACGTCCTAGTCTCCAAGGCAGCAGAAAACAAGCTTGCTCCCTCCTTCGTATGACTTCCTCTCACATATTTATACATGGCTATCATGTCTCCTCTCAGCCTTCTCTTCTTCAGGCTAAACATGCCCAGCTCTTTAAGCCACTCCTCATAGGGCTTGTTTTCCATACCCTTGATCATTTCAGTCTTCCATTTTTTGTATAGCCACTATTTATTTTTTTACTTCAGAGGCATCTGGAGCAAACCTTGCTCTATAACCGATAATGAATTTACCAAAAAATGGCCGTATTTCCTCATCTTGTGCCTCTTTTCCTGCCTCTCAAACACAGGACACAGTCTTCTGGCAGACCAAACTCTTCATCTTTCAATTTGGTCTATTTTAACTAGCAGCATTTGAGGTGGGCAACTAAATTAAAAGCTAATTTTTGCCCCACCATCCACCCATGGCTTACACAGACCGTTTTTTGACTGACCTGGAACCTGGATTTGAAGCAGTCTTCTCAGTTGAGCTTACCTCAAGGGGTTATTATGTGGGCGAGATGAAGGGAAAGCAGATATACCAATCTGACAACTCTGGAAAAAGGCTAGTCATGAAATTGTTGCAAACCTTTACTTTGTGACCAGGGGTTTTTATGAATGGCTTTCAGAGATATTTTCTTCTCTTGACCACCATCTTCAAGGTCAATCCATCCCAACTAGAACTGCACCACTAAATAATCACCAATATCTGTTCCCCTTTAGGCTATTCCTCTCAGCCTGTCCAGCACAATGGTAAAATTAGTTTTGTGGTGGGAGCTCCCCGCTATGACTATGTTGGCAAAGTGGTTCTGTTTGAGAAACATCCCAGGCGTGGAGAATGGCAACTGAAAGCAGAAGCTGTTGGAGAACAGGTATGGGTTGCATTGAGGGAAATGCAGGTGAAGGTGAGATACTTGCTGGAAAACTTCTAAATGTAGACAGAAGGTGTGGATCCACAAAAAATGTGGATCAACTCAAAGACATGAGAGATAGCTCCTTCTCACCAGTTGAGAACATTCTCTTGATGTTGTTTGGTGGATTCATACTAAGGAGCGGCAATGGTACATTGGGTTAATTATTATTATTATTATTGTTATTATTATTATACTTTATTTGTACCCCGCTAGCATCTCCCAAAGGATTCGATGCGGCTTACACTGGCCGGAGCCTCAAACACAATACAACAAAACAATATCAAAGCAAATTAAAAACAGTTAAGCCAAGTAAACAACAAACAATAACAATACACCAGGACACTTTAAAACTGGGCCGGCCAGAGTAGTGGGTACAGGATTAAAAGTGCTGAAGTGGCGGAAGGAATGTAGGATTAAAAGTAAGTGCAGTGTGCGGTGTGCAATCTTAGTGCTACTAAAGTGCTTCTAGGACTTGGTATTGGAGTTTCCTAATCTGAGAAGGCACATCGGAACAGCCAGGTCTTCAAGTTCTTTCTGAAGACTGCCAATGTAGGGGCCTGTCTAAGATCTTTGGGGAGGGTGTTCCAGAGTCGGGGGCCACCACAGAAAAGGCCCTGTCTCATGTCCCCACCAAACGCGCTTGCGACGCAGGCGGGATCACGAGCAGGGCCTCTCCAGATGACCGAAGTGAACGTGTGGGTTCGTAGATGGAGATGCGGTCACGCAGGTAGGCTGGTCCCAAACCGTTCAGGGCTTTGTAGGTGAGCACCTGCACCTTGAATTGGGCTCGGAAAATAAATGGCAGCCAGTGGAGCTCCTTAAACAGGAGGGTTGACCTCTCTCTGTAATGGGCCCCAGTTAACATCCTGGCTGCCGCCCGTTGGACCAGTTGGAATTTCCGAGCCGTTTTCAAGGGCAGCCCCACGTAGAGCGCATTACAGTAATCCAATCTAGAGGTGACCGCAGTTGGCGCACGAGTCTCAATTGTGCGAAAGCCCTCCCGGACACCGCCGACGCCTGAGCCTCAACCGTGAGCGATGAATCCAAGAGGACTCACAAACTGCGGACCTGTGGCTTCAGGGGGAGTGTAACCCCGTCCAACCCTTGTGCTGCTGAACTGCTGACGTGAAGGTCGACAGTTTGAATCCGAGATGGAGTGAGCTCTCATCTGTTAGCTCCAGCTCCTGCCAACCTAGCAGTTTGAAAACATGCAAATGTGAGTTGATAAATAGGTACTGCTTAGGCGGGAAAAGGCAAAGAGAGGCTCCAAACAATCTTGCCGGCCACATGACCAGGAGGTGACAACTTGAAAAAGGAGAAAAGCACCTCCACACAGCCAGAGATGAGCATCGCCTACAGAAGCTGGAAATGAAAGGAGATGCCTCTGCCTTTGTTTGTGTTGTGTGCCTTATTGTATATGATTGTAAAGGCATTGAATGTTTGCCTATGTTTGTAAATACTGTAATCTGCTCTGAGCCCCCTAGGGGAGAAGGGGAGAATATAAATAAAGTATATTATTATTATTATTATTATTATTATTATTATCATTAATTGTGTTGCTGTGAGTTTTCCAGGCTGTATGGTCATGTTCCAGAAGCATTCTCTCCTGATGTTTCACCCACATCTATGGTAGGCATCCTCACAACTTCAAAGGATGCCTGCCATAGATGTGGGTGAAACGTCAGGAGAGAATGCTTCTGTAACATGGCCATACAGCCCGAAAAACTCACAGCAACCCAGTGATTCCAGACATGAAAGCCTTCGACAACACATTCTTGTTGTTGTTGTTGTTGTTGTTATTATTATTATTATTATAAGGCTGTCAAATAATTTTTTCTGGGGCATCTATTAAATATTTTCTAATCCTTTGGCTGGTCTTGGGACTAAAGCGCTTTGGTTGTCCTGATAGATGACTTGCTTTGAAGAAGGAGAGTGGGGAAATTACACTGTTAAGTTTTTGGTTATTTTAGCTGCTTCCAGTAGCCCATTGACCCAAATATAATTCTGGGAATAGGGCACTATGTTGTAGTACTTCTGTTTCATTCCATTTCTAATACAAGGAATAACAATTTTAAAAAAACTTTGTTCCAAATGTTGATTTCTCTGCACAAACATAACACAGAGAGACTTGAACCTGAATGAAAGTTAACATGAATGGAGGAAGACAAAATATAAAAAGTAATTTCTCTCATGCCATAGGTTGGTTCCTATTTTGGAGCGACTCTGTGCTCAGTGGACTTGGATATAGATGCAAACACAGATCTGGTTCTGGTTGGAGCCCCCATGTACTATGACGCTGTCACTGGAGGAAGGGTCTACATCTGTGAAATTATGGCAAAGGGGACGAAGGTAGTTGTGTGTGTGTATATGTGTGTGGTGCATTCACCCTCACCTATGTATATATGTGCACATGTGTGAAGACTTTGGAGACAGTGCATTCAAGATGAAAACACATAAAGGAATTCAGTAGCTGGGAAGAAGAAACTTCTAGTATAGGAGTGAGGCCCCTTCCACACAGCTGAATAAAATCCCACATTTCTGCTTTGAACTGGAATATATGGCAGTGTGGACTCAGATAATCCAGTTCAAAGCAGATATTGTGGGATTTTCTGCCTTGAGGTTCTTGGTTATATAGCTGTGTGGAAGGGCCCTAAGTCTACAAAAGCTTCTGTAATTAATGTCTTTTTCTCTGTTAACCTCAAAGGCGATGCTGGATTTCTTTATGTCAAACAGACTAACACAGAAATTGCTTCAAGCACTATTCACACATTTATAAATCATTGTTGATAACTAACACACACTATTTGTTAAAATTATGGAAAGCTATTCAATAAATGTGATCTTTAACTGTTAAATGCCTATGCTGTAATTTTGAGCAACAATTAATGTTTTGATTACTTTAATCCATCCCTGATTTCTAGTAAATTTTAAAAGATTTCTAATGAATTAATTTTATTGCTTTTTCTTATGTCAACATAATTTTTTTTTGTAATGCTTTATCATTGACATTTCACTTCTACTACTAATGCTTCCAAGTCCCTTTCCCTGTTCTTTCTGAAACTGAGAGAGAAAGAAAGTGATGGGTGGTTATAGGCTGACAGATCTATCATTCAAATGAAAGAGGATATTGCTGGAGGGTTTTGTGGGAACAAAGAATTAGCGATATTGGTCTTAAATGTGTTTTTGAGCCATATACTTTACCTTAGCTTGTTTTGGTTGTTAGTTGGTGAAGGGAGTTGGGCTGGATGGTCTTAAAGCAGCATTTCTCAACCTGGGGGTCAGGACTCCTGGGGAGGTCACAAGGGGGTTTCAGAAGGGTTGACAAAGACCATCAGAAAACCCAGTATTTTCTGTTGGTCATGGGGTTCTATGTGAGAAGTTTGGCCCAATTATATCATTGGTGGGGTTCAGAATGCTCTTGATTGTAGGTGAACTATAAATCCCAGCAACTACAACTCTCCAAAATGTCAAGGTCTATTTTCCCCAAACTCCACCAGTGTTCACATTTGGGCATATGAGTATTTGCACCAAGTTTGGTCCAGATTCATTGTTGCTTGAGTCCATAGTGCTCGCTGGATGTAGGTGAACTATAACTCCAAAACTCAAGGTCACTGCCCATTTAATCCTTCCAGTATTTTCTGTTGGTCATGAGAGAGTTCTGTGTGCCAAGTTTGGTTCAATTCCATCGTTGGTGGAATTAAGAGTGCTCCACTTGCTTGACTACCACCAGATTGCCTGAAGATGCCAGCCACAGATGCAGGCAAAACATCTAGAGAAAATGCTGCTGGAACATGGCCATACAGCCCAGAAACCACACAACATCCCAGTGATTCTGGCCATGAAAGCCTTTGACAACATAGTAAGCAAAGAGTATGATCCCTTCTGAAATCCTGTGGTTGCCTCCTGCAGAATTCTGGGACTTGTAATTTAGTGAGACTCATGACCACTCTGCATGAGCTTTATAAAGACTCCTCTGCTGAACTACAAGTCCCAGAATTCAGCAGGAGGCAGCCACGGGATTTCAGATGGGATAGAATTTCAGATGTGATGCATAATCTTTTCCTACTCTTTCAGCCTTGGCTCAGGAGAAAACAACAGTACCATTTTTAGTTGCCGTTTGTCCCCTTTCATTCCTCTGTTTTTCTCTGTCTCCACTGGTCAGGTGCAGTCACTTCATTGTAGCACAACTTTGAAAGGGCAGGCGGGACAAATGTTTGGTCGCTTTGGGGCCTGCATTGCAGAAGCAGGTGACATAACTGGTGATGGATGGACGGATGTGGCAATTGGGGCGCCCCTGGAAGATGAAAACGCTGGAGCTTTGTATATCTTTGCAGGGAAGCAGACGTCACTCAACCCCAAATACATCCAGGTGAGCTGAGCACCAATTTTATGCCTAGGAAAGGACATTCATAGAATGATAGAGTTGGAAGAGACCACGTGGGCCATCCAGTCCAACCCCAGCAAACCTGGGATCAGATCCTGGGATATAGGGCCTGTCTGGAAGGGCCCATAGTCTATTTCTGATAACACCTTCTTCAATTTTGTCTCCTCTCTTGTCTTTTTTCTTTTTGCAGCGCATTGGAGGGCTACGTTTTACTGGAGGGCTCTTGTACTTTGGCCAAGCTGTCAGTGGAGGGACAGACCTTACAGGGGATGGGCTGAAGGACATAGCTGTGGGACAACAGGGACGGGTCCTATTACTCAGGTAAAGTTTCCCATTTTTCTCTTGGTTTCCTCTTTGTTCCCTCTGAACAAGACCTAACCATGCAATTCTTTTGTTTTTGACATCCTCGTCATTTTTTCTTTCATGGGGCAGCTTTATGTCTAACATATAGAATTCTTCTTTGTGGAGTCTGTGAAATGCGCACATAAGGATTTCCTTTGTGCATGCGCAATGGAAAGCCATATATGTGAATTTCACAGACTACCATTCAAAGAAATACGGTTACAGGTAAGCAACCTATACATAGCACTCTATGTAGCTTGACATAATTTGTATGTGGAGAATGAGATTTAATGGACTTCCAGCTTCCATGTAATATCAGATGTCATCCATAGCCCTGGATATCTGAAGCCAACAACTTTGCATAGTAGTTGAGGTCCAGGTGATGTGAACAGATTCAGCTTTTGGTCTGAGGATCACTTATAAAGGTTGAACCTATGTGGGATGAACATTTTTATAACGGCTCTATCAACCTTTAAGACATATTTAAAATGATGTCTCAGCCCCCTTCTATACTGCCATATAAGGCCTAGATTATCTGCTTTGAAGTGGATTATATGGCTGCATCGACAACACTTTTATGTTGGTTCTTGTGGGTTTTTTCGGGCTATAGAGCCATGTTCTAGAGGCATTTCTCCTGACGTTTCGCCTGCATCTATGGCAAGCATCCTCAGAGGTGTGAGGTCTGTTGGAATTAGGACAAGGGGTTTATATATCTGTGGAATGGCTGGGGTGGGGCAAGGAGCTCTTCCCTGCTGCAGTTAGGTGTGAATGTTTCAGCTGATCACCTTCATTAGCATTTGATGGCTTGCCTGAGCCTGGGAAAATCTCTTGCTGGGAGGTGCCAGGCACAGATTAACACCTCCCAGCAAGAGATTTTCCCAGGCTCAGGCAAGCTGTTGTGGTTCAGCAACAGCATGATGGACATGATGGGACTGAGAGTGCAAGTGGGCATGATGAGAATGGGAATACAGATACAGATGTGGGATTTCAGATTTCTCAGTTTTCTCAGCCACAGTCTGTAGCTAGAGAGAATCCCTTGTTCTCAAGGGAAAGGAATGTGGCTGATAACACTCTCGGTGAAGGTCAGCGCGAGCCGCAGGTGTTAAGAAGTTTACGGATTGCGGCCAAATCTTGAGGCCATCTGCTGGTGGGAAAACTGCTCGTTAGCTGTTCTGTTTAATGTTCAATGTTTTGATGATTTTCCTATAAGAAGACTGCTTGAAAGCTGATTCAGTGTCAGATCCAACTTTGCAATATGGATTGCTGTACCTTTGGCTCTAGGGCTTGGGCCTTGGGGTTCATTTGCTTCCTGTAACTTCATGCTATTGCCTGGATTGTATCCTGCTTCTTTGCCTCAAGTTTCCTGCTTTGAATCAACAGAACTTATGGGACCTATACTTTGTACTATTGAACTTTTTACTGCTTTTACTTGGATTTGTTTGAAACTTCAATAAACTTCTTTCTTCTCAAGTTTGGCTGGTTTGTCAGAGAGCAAGGTGAAGCTTAACCTGAGACGCAACACCATGGGAGGCAATTCTTTGAACTGAAACATTCACACCTAACTTCGACAAGGGTTCTTTCTCTCACCCTGGACTTTCCACAGATACATAAACCCAATTTTCCTAGTTTCCAACAGACCTCACAACCTCTGAGGATGCCTGCCATAGATGCAGGTGAAAAGTCAGGAGAGAATGCTCTAGAACATGGCTATATAGCCCGAAAAACCCACAAGAACCTAGTGATTCCAGCCATGAAAGCCTTCGACAATACAATGTGGATTTTATTTATCGTGTCAGGAGCGAACAAAAGCAGTTGTATTGCATTAAAAAACAGACAAACAAAACACAAAATTTGCAGACTTGGTATTCTATTAAATGTCCTTTGACCAGTAGCTGGCCACTTGGAGTGCCTCTGGTGTTGCCGCAAGAAGGTCCTCCCTTGTGCATGTGGCAGGGCTCAGGTTGCATTGCAGAGGTGGTCAGTGGTTTGCTCGTCTCCACACTCGCATGTCGTGGACTCCACTTTGTAGCCCCTTTTCTTAAGGTTGGCTCTGCATCTCGTGGTGCCAGAGCGCAGTCTGTTCAGCGCCTTCCAAGTCGCCCAGTCTTCTGTGTGTCCAGGGGGGAGTCTCTCATTTGGTATCAGCCATTGATTGAGGTTCTGGGTTTGAGCCTGCCACTTTTGGACTCTCGCTTGCTGAGGTGTTCCAGTGTCTCTGTAGATCTTAGAAAACTATTTCTTGATTTAAGTCGTTGACGTGCTGGCTGATACCCAAACAAGGGATGAGCTGGAGATGTCACTGCCTTGGTCCTTTCACTATTGGCTGCTTCTTCCCGGCGGATGTCAGGTGGTGCAATACCGGCTAACAGTGTAATTTCTCCAGTGGTGTAGGGCGCAGACACCCCGTGATAATGCGGCATGTCTCATTAAGAGCCACATCCACTGTTTTAGCGTGGTGAGATGTGTTCCACACTGGGCATACATACTCAGCAGCAGAGTAGCATAGCGCAAGGGCAGATGTCTTCACTGTGTCTGGTTGTGATCCCCAGGTTGTGCCAGTCAGCTTTCGTATGATATTGTTTCTAGCACCCACTTTTTGCTTGATGTTCAGGCAGTGCTTCTTGTAGGTCAGAGCACAGTCCAAGTGACTCCCAGGTATTTGGGTGTGCTGCAATGCTCCAGTGGGATTCCTTCCCAGGTAATTCTCAGAGCTCGGGATGCTTGTCTGTTCTTAAGGTGAAAAGCACATGTCTGTGTTTTAGATGGATTAGGGATCAGCTGGTTTTCCCTGTAATAGGCAGTAAGAGCACCTAGAGCTTCAGAGAGCTTCTGTTCAACCATCTCAAAGCTCCCTGCTTGAGCAGTAATGGCACAGTCATCATAGATGAAGCTCTCCATCCCTTCTGGCAGTGGCTGGTCATTTGTGTAAATGCTGAACATGGATGGAGCAAGCATGCTCCCTTGAGGCAGGTCGTTCTTCTGTTTTTGTGATCTGCTTCTTTGGCCCTGTAACTCAACAAAAAAGCTCCTGTTTTGTAGCAGGTTTCCTATGAGGCTGGTGACATGGTAGTCCTTTGTGATATTATACATTTTTCTCAGGAGGAGGCGGTGGTTACAGTATCATAAGCCGCTGACAGGTCTATGAAGACAGGTCCTGTGATCTGCTGCCTTTCAAAGCCATCTTCTATGTGCTGAGTCAGGTTCAGCACTTGCGATGTGCAGCTTTTGCCTTTCCTGAAGCCAGCTTGCTGTGGAATCAAACATGGGACCAGAAGCGAATGTGGATTATCTGCTTTGATAATCTGAATTATAAAGCAGTGTAAAAAAGGCCTGAGAGACTCGATGTAGGAATTCTACTTGTCAAAACCTCAAACAAAGAGCCAGCCCTGCCCTGAGTTTCTTCGTCCTTTACCATCATTCCTTTTCTCTCTGACTTTTAAAAAACTGACCACAAATTCAACAATTCTCCGGATATTGACTTGTATGCTTTCTTGGGAGGGCTCCCAATTTGTAAGCCTTGGCCACTGGATGTGACTGCATTGCCCTTTGCTTTTTCCTTCTAGGTCCCGTCCTGTTCTGGATCTGAGAGTCTCTATTGAGTTCCAGCCCCCTTTGATTCCCACCTCCATCTTCAGGTGTCAGAGCCAAGAACTTGTGGAAAAGATGGCCAGTGTGGCAAGAGTGTGCTTCACTGTTTCCAAAGCTACAAAGGATAAACTAGGTGAGTCTATGATCAGTTCTTCTGCACAAGTATGGGCTTGTGCAGAAGAGGAAAATGATAGGACAATGAGTGGATATTGAAATGCTTTTAGAGAGTCATTCAAACACAATAAAACAAGAGGTTTTTTTTTTCATGTCAGGAGTGACTTGAGAAATTGCAAATTGCTTCTGGTGTGAGAGAATTGGTCATCTTCAAGGACATTGCCCAGGGGATGTTTTACCATCCTTTGGGAAGTTTCTCTCATGTCGCCGCATGAGAGGTTGGAGCTGGCAGACGGGAGCTCACCCTGCTCCTCAGATTCCAACCGCTGACCTTGTGGTCAACAATCCCGCCAGCACAAGGGTTTAACCCATTGTGCCACTGGGGGCTCCATTATAAGAGGTTAAGGAGCACAAATACAAAGCAGAATAGGCTTCCTGAAGTATGGAAAGGAGAGTGCCAAAGGGGAAGGACTTATGTCCCTCTTACTTTTTTCCATGTGCTGTTGCAGACGGCTTCCTCAAGTATTCTGCGGTACTATTCATAATCTCTTCCTCTTTTCTCTCTCTCTTTCCCAATCCAGGTGTTATTTTTAGTGACCTTCAATACAGCCTGGCCCTGGATTCTGAGAAGACAAAGATTCTTGCCTCCTTCAGCTCTAAATCTCCTGTTTGGAATTCAGGTTTCAAGATTGGGCTTGAACAAAAATGCAAGGATCATGCCATCAATTTACCTGTGAGTTGTCATCACTTCCCTTGTATATTTTGGGGAAGTCCTGAATTTATATAAAGCCTAAATAATACCCCAAAGGAACCAGATCCCATATGATCTTGGAAGCTAAGCAGGGTCAATTTGGATTTATATTTGGAAAGGAGACTGCCTGTAGGCTACATTTCAGAGAAAAAAATACCTCACTACCTCCGAGGATGTTTGTCATAGATGCAGACAAAACGTCAGGAGAGAATGCCTCTAGAACATGGCCCGAAAAAACCTACAACAACCCAGTGATTCTGGCCATGAAAGCCTTCGACAATACAGAGACAAAATAGTCTGAGTATTCCTTGACTTTGAGATCTTCCATACAGCCATATAACCCAGAATATCAAGGCAGATAATCTGCAATATCTGGTTTGAACAGGATTATCTGAGTCCACACTGCCATATAATTCAGTTCAATGTGGATTTTATATAGCTGTGTGGATGGGGCCTATGGAAACACTATGAAACGTATAGAGTTGCTGTCATGGAGGCTCGTTCTTTGGAGGCTTTTAAGCAGAGGCTGGATGGCCAACTGTCAGGGGTGCTTTGATTGTGATTTTCCTGCTTCTTGGCAGGGGGTTGGACTGGATGGCCTATGAGGTCTCTTAAAACTCTATGATTCTATGATGCTATGATTCTATAGTTCTAAGTTGACAGGTGACTTGGAGGTATATACACACAATGGGTTTGCAAATATTGATATTATTCATTACAATAATGATTCCTCCCTTTGGGCTCAGAAATAATGTGCAAAAGATATGTTCCCTGATGACATGCAGCCGACTCAAAAGAAACTCAGAAGTACTAATATCCCTTTTAGAGTGCTTCCCTTCTTGTTTCATTTCTCAGAGCTGCATTGAAGATACCCTGACTCCCATCACCTTGAGGCTCAATTATAGCCTTGTGGGGAACCCCATTGATCAAGCCCAGAGACTCCAGCCGATCCTGAGCCAAGAGTCCCAGCAGATCTACACTGCCCAGGTGAGTGCCCTCCTAGGTCCCACCAGAGCAATAGGAGAACCAGTAGCAATACAGCAGGATTCTTCCTTGAGAGGCTTCCCTTTTCTGAAGCCCTCACCCCTCTTCCTTATATGCACATTCATCCTGGTGACACTTCTCCTAACATAGGTAGACAAACAGACATACAGGAGGAGATGGTGATTGTGAGGACAGAGCAAAAAAGATGGGAAAAAGAGAAAAGGTTTTGTTGGGTCCAATATATGTCATAGGTTGTCCATTGAGAAACAGTCTGCTCATAGAGATTTATTTTATTATTTATTTGATTTGATTTTGCTTTACTTGTACAATGGGCTTTTAGTATCGGCTGAGTTTGGGTCCAGCACTTGCGTATCCCCTACAGATACCAAAATTCATAGATGTTCATAGATAGCCTCCATGACAGCAACTCTATACGTTTCATAGTGTTTCCATAGGCCCCATCCACACAGCTATATAAAATCCACATTGAACTGAATTATATGGCAGTGTGGACTCAGATAATCCTGTTCAAACCAGATATTGCAGATTATCTGCCTTGATATTCTGGGTTATATGGCTGTTCAAATCTCTGTTCAAATCTCATTATACACAATGATATATATTCAAACCATGTATGGTTGAATCTGTGGATACTAAATCAGTGTATTTTTTCCCAGCATGGGACCCAAGATGACTTACAGTAAGGTCAAAAGTAAATAAAGCTAAGACCTGATGATAAAAGAATTAAACCACAATTAAGCAAGTTAGCATTAAAGCTGATGGTGAAAACAGAAGAATGGCCTGCTGCAGAGGAACAAGCTTGCTCCATTAGTGTTTAAGATTTACACAAATGATCATCCACTGTCAGAAGGGACAGAGAATTTCATCTACGCTGACAATCGTGCCATCACTGCTCAAGCAGGGAGCTTTGGAATGGTTGAATAGAAGCTCTCTGAAGCTCTAGGTACTCTTACTGTCTATTACAGGGAAAACCAGCTGATTCTGAATCCATCTAAAATGCAGATGTGTGCTTTTTCATCTTAAGAACAGACAAGTATCTCAACCTCAGAGGATTACATGGGAAGGAATCCCACTGGAGCATAGCAGCACACGAAAATACTTGGGAGTCACTCCGGACCATGCTCTGACATACAAGAAACACTGCTTGAATTTCAAGCAAAAATTGGGTGCTAGAAATAATATCATACAAAAGCTGACTGGCATAACCTGGGGATCAAAACCCGATACAGCGAAGGCACCTGCCCTTGTGCTTTGCTACTCTGCTGCTGATACGCATGCCCAGTGTGGAATCTCTCAACAGTGGATGTGGCTCTTAATGAGACATGTCGCATTATCACAGGATGTCTACGCCCCACACCAGTGGAATAATAATGCTGTTTAGCTGGTATTGCACTACCTGACACCCATCAAGAAGTAGCAGCCTGTAATGAAAGAACCAAGGCAGTGACATCTCCAGCCCATCCCCTGTTTGAATTATCAGCCAGCAAACAAACGCCTTAAATCAATAAATAACTTCCTAAGATCTACAGAGATACTTGCGGGAACATCTCAGCAAGCCTGTCCAAAAATGACAGACTAAAATCTAGCACTTCAATCAGTGGCTGAGACGGGATGAGAAACACCTTCCTAGGCACACAGAAGATTAGTCAACCTGGAAGGCGCTGAACAGACTGTGCTCTGGCACCATGAGATGCAGAGCCAACCTTAAGAAATGAGGCCACAAAGTGGAGTTCACAACATGTGAATGTGGAAAAGAGCAAACCATAGACCATTTACTGCAATGCAGTCTGAACACTGCCACATGCACAGTGAAGGATCTTCTCACACTGACAGCAGAGGTACTTGAAGTGGCCAGTTTTTGGTCAAAGGATATTTAGTATAATGCCAAGTTTAACTTGGTTTGTGTTTTTAAATACATAATAACTGTACCCACAATTTGCTTCTGACATGATAAATAAATAAACTGCCATGGTCAAATACTACATATCCTGGAAGTTGTAGTTTGATGAGACACTGGCACTTTTGGATACCAGAGGCACTCCAACTGGCCAGCTTCTGATCAAAGGAAATTTAACTTTGTTTGTGGTTTTTGTATGCATTATAACTATATTCTCAATTTGCTTATGGCACAATAAATAAATCAATAAAGCAAAGCACCACTAGTTTTTTTTAAGTTTAAATTGTTTAAGAATGTAACACTGAAGGTCTTTCCATACAACCAATTAACCACTGGCTGGGTTGGTGGGACTAATAGAAATCTCTTACCTGAGGATCTTGGGATGTTCTTATAATTCTCCTTCCAACTATGGACTTTGAATCAATTTGAATGTTATGCATATTTTTGCAGCTCCCCTTTGAGAAGAACTGTGGCAGTGATGGGAAATGTGTAGATGTTCTACAAACCTCATTTACTTTCTCAGGGTAGGAAACACATTATCTCTATTCTTTTGCTTTCTTGTCTCTTCATATTATCTATGTGAAATTAGGCTTTCAAAGAGTCCCAGTGATGGGTAATTTTTTAACCATTTTAAAATTTATTGAGCTGGCATATCTCCCATTTTGAATTAATTATTTGTTGACATTGTCATTTCATTGAACTTCTCCTTACCATTCTAGACTTATTTTAAAGGAAAACCTCCATTTTATGCCCCGGCGTTTCTTTCATTTTGATAAGTTCCACTTCCAGTGAATTGAGGTTGCTGCATGGTCAGCTTGTCTTTTGCAAGCTGACCAGCAACACAAACTAAATTTTAGTTCTGTTTCAACATACATTGCACTGAAATAAGGCCTGCTTTGAAACCATAAGACTTGTAAAATGTGAAGTTAATGCAGAATACTTTTGAGAATCTCAGGCCACAGCAATTATTTTAGTCTTTGCCATTCATTTTTCATGCATGGCATTAAAATAAGTGGAGGATATGTATGAAGAGTTCACGGTTTGAGAAAGAAGCCTAAAACCCTTGGATTAACCAGTCCATACCCTTTATTTTTTATTTCTGTCCAGCCTGAATACTGTAATTGTAGGCCTGACTCTTGAGCTCAATGTAACAGCGTCTATCCGGAACCGTGGAGAGGATTCCTACAGCACTACTATCAGCTTCTCCTACCCAGCAGGACTGTCGTACCGCAAGGTTACTTTGCTGCAGGTTGGTGGAACTGAGAAGTTTCAGACAGGGGAATCATAGGCCCTAAGTGCTATTAATTCCCTACCCAAAATCCAAGCACTCCCAACAGATGGTTATCCAGCCTCTGTTTAAAAACCTCCAGAGAAGGAGACCCCATCAATTCCAAGGCACGATTCCATTGTTGAACAGTTCTAACCATTAGGAAGTTCTCCCTAATGTTTAGGTAGAACCTTTCCCCCTGTAATTTGAATCCATTGCTCCTAGTTTCTGGAACAGCAGAAAAACAAGCTTTGAGTCCCCACTGAGGTTGAGAAAGGCGGGATATAAGTATGGTAAATAAAGAAAGAATACATTGCCCTTCTTTGGACATGTTCCAGCTTGTCAACATGTAGTGATGAAGTGGGCAGGGTGTGTAAGCAGCATGTTGTCTTCGGAAATCTTCCCATAACATTTGGATGCATCATTCTTACCAGTCCAGCCAAAATGTTGTCAGCGTGAAGTGCCACTCGGCTCCTGTCTCTGAAGAACGTGCCAACTGGACTGCCACCTGCAACATCAACCACCCAATTTTCTGGAGTGGAGCAGAGGTAGAAGCTTCCTTCTATACTTATTGTTTCTGAGAGTGTGTCCAAAATACTATTAAATAATTCCTAGAAACCTATTATTATTATTATTATTATTATTATTATTATTATTATTATTTCTTATCAAAAGCATAGCATAAATTAGTATAAAAAACCAAATAAAAATAAAAGGGGCGCAGGTGGCTAAATATATTTTGACCAAAAACAGGCAGCAGCACTGGCATTGTCTGTAGTCTCCAACAATTCATCCTCTGTACATGAGGCAGGGCATAGTGGACAAGCATACAGATGCAGAGTTGTCTCTTCTGCTCCACAGTTGCACAGAGTGTGGGATTCTTTTAGGTAGTGCCATTTTGCCAGGTTGTCCTTTGTTCTGCCCACTCCACTTCTGAGTCTGTTCAGGGACTTCCAAGTTGCTCATTCTTACTTTGCCCCTGGAGAAAGACCCTCGTGGGGGGCCATCCAGTTGGGATTTCCTGGTTTAGCTGCCCAGAGAGATACCCTTGACGTTGCTGGGGGGATGCCAAGAGGAGTGGTAGTTCTCAAAAAGCTTTTCCTTGATTTGAGTCTCATTCTAGAAACCTGGACCAAAGCAATCATTCCCTAATGATTTTACTAACTTAAGTGAAAAACAGGTATTATTCATTCCTTGTGGTGTGAAAGGACTACTTAATATGCTCTTGTGATTAATGTTCATTGTTTTTATTTTAAGGGAATTGACAAAATCATCTAAATTAATTGTAAATCCCAATTTAAACAGGGTAGAATAGACATGGCATAGGTCAATTATATCTGAAATACATGGGACATGAAATGTTTTAGAGTTCAGATTTTTTTTCCAGATTTTGAAATATGTATATTTGCATATATATACACAGAGGCAGCCCTAGGTAATTTTCAACGGTAAGCAAACAGTATTTTGCCCCCCCCCCCAAACCAATCACTGATATATATTTTCTGTTCGTCGTGGGAGTTCTGTGTGCCATATTTGGTTCAGTTCCATCATTGGTGGAGTTCAGAATGCTCTTTGATTGTAGGTGAACTATACATCCCAGTAACTACAACTCGCATATGTCAAGGTCTATTTTCCCCCAAGAGCGTCCCTGGGCAAAATCAACTATACTGCAAATGCTTACTTTGCGTAATGGGTTGAGCCGCCCCTGTATATACATAATGACTAATCTTGAATATGGGACTCGAGTCTAAACACAGAATCAATTGATGTTTCCTACACATCTTATATACCTACCTTGAAGGTAGTTTTGTACACAATGGGTTGTTGTAGTTTTTTCGGGTTGTATGGCCATGTTCTAGAAGCATTCTCTCCTGATGTTTTGCCTGCATCTGTGGCAGGCATCGTCAGAGGTTGTGAAATTTGTTTGAAACTGGAAAATTGGGTTTATATATCTGTGGAAAGTCCAGGGTGGGAGAAAGAACTCTTGTCTGTTGGAGACAAGTGTCAATGTTTCAAAGTCTTCGACAATACATTTATACACAATGTTTTAAATAAGTTTGTGCATGAAACAAAGAATGTACATTGCACCCTCAGAAAGTAATACTATCACTTTTTCAACCACCCGTGTGAACCATTTTGGATTTCAGAATTCTTGATAAGGGATGCTCAATTTGTAAAATTCATTATTGTTTTCATTGTGGGTGCACAATAATTTGTCCTCCACACAAGGAAATATTAATCCAAGCCATGCTTCACATGCTTTTGTGTTTCAGGCTATCTTTGTTGCCACATTTGATGTCTCACCTGGTGCTGACTTAGGAGACACTCTACGGATCATAGCTAAAGCCAACAGGTAACTGATACACTGATGGGCCTTTTGAATTAAAATATGATTCCGTTTTGTAGTGGCATGATGGCAGTGGGTAAACCGTAATGAACTCTTTTTTATATGGGTCTGGGATGCCATTCTTTTTTTGTGGAGGCTGGTGTTGACACAGAAAAACTTGGCTATTGTCCAGTGAAGGGGTCTGTTTTTTAAAAAAAGATAATCTACTTATTCTCTATCATTTGTCTAGTGAAAATGGAGGAAACATCACCAATCGTATGATTCACCAAGAAGACTTGCCTGTCAAATATGCAGTATACATTATGGTCACCACGTGAGATATTTTCTCCTTCCTTCCTTCCTTCCTTCCTTCCTTCCTTCCTTCCTTCCTTCCTTCCTTCCTTCCTTCTTTTTGGGCAGCTTGGGCACACGTGCTTTCAAGTTGCCAAACAGTTCATGAATCCCATAGGGTCTTCTTAGGCAAAAAATGCTCAGAGGTGCTTTTGCCAGTTTCTTCCTCTGAAATATAGCCTACAATTCTTGGTATTCATTGATGGTAACTCATCCAAGTGGAGACCCCGGTGGCAATGGGTTAAACCCTTGTGCCGGCAGGACTGAAGATCGGCAGGTCAGAGATTCAAATCTGGGGAGAGTGTGGATGAGCTCCCTCTGTCAGCTCCAGCTCCCCATGTGGGGACATGAGAGAAGCCTCCACAAGGATGGTAAAACATCAAAATATCCTGGTGTCCCCTGGATAATGTCTTTGCAGACAGCCAATTCTCTCATGTCAGAAGCAACTTGTAGTTTCTCAAGTCGCTCTTGACATACATACCCACAAAAAAACCCTCATCCAATTACTAACCAGGGTCAACCTTGTTTAGTGTCCAAGACTAGATGGGAGCTGGTGCTTTTAGGGTATTTAGGTCACCTGCCAGAACAGGTTCCAGCACTCTTTGACAGTTTCCAGCACTCTTATAATGTAAATCAAAAGGATAAACAAGAAATGGGAGGAAAGGAATAAATTTAGGAGATGTTGTCCTCTTCTCCAAGGCCAGACTAATGTTAGCTTGAATATGGAAAGAGAGGCAAAAAGAATGACAGTGATTAGAGCATTGAACTACAACTCTGGAGAATGCTTGGATAGGAAAACTCACTGGGCAAATCACACCCAGCTTCAGGAAATCTCATGTCATCATAAATGGAAATGACATGAAAACACACAAAACATAATCAACAACATAGCTATTTTAGGGTTGTTGTTTTTTTGTCATGTCAGGAGCTACTTGAAAAACTGCAAGTCGCTTCTGGTGTGAGAGAATTGGCTGTCTGCAAGGACGTTGCCAGGGGACGCTCGGATGATTTTGATGTTTTATCATCCTTGTGGAGGCTTCTCTCATGTCCCCGCATGAGGAGCTGGAGCTGATAGAGGGAACTCATCCACCTCTCCCGGATTCGAACCTGCGACCTGTCGGTCTTCAGTCCTGCTGGCACAGGGGTTTAACCCACTGCGCCACCAGGGGCTCCCATTTTAGGGTGAAAGCAAAACTTATACAGTTTCCTCTAAAAGAGCCTCTTTTGTCACATTCAAAAAGCAATGCCTTTGAAATGTCTGTTTCTCTGTCTCAAAGTGTTACTCCCTTTCATTACTGACATTCATTATTCTTTTTCATATCACCAGCGCTGAGGAATCAACTAAGTATGTCAACTTTACGACTGGTCAGGAAGGCTCAAGAAAGAGTGTGGAGCATCGCTATGAGGTGAAGAGCTTTGTGACTTGTGGCAGGGAGAAATCATAAAAAACAGAGGATGGTCAAGAATGAAACCTCCACTCTGGCTCCCTGTACAATGAAGTGAAATCCACCACTCTGAAATTATAATATTTGCAGATTCTGGATTGCTTTGCTTATTATAATTAGAAATGTTTACTGTTTATTTTCATTTTTTCAATTAAAAATAAATTAAAAAGAGACTGAGATCTGGGGCCCTCGTGTGTTTTTGTTTTGTTTTGAAAGAATCCATTTCTTTTTCAGGTGAGGAACCTCTGGGTACGAAGCATCCCTGTCTCAGTGACATTTCAGATCCCGGTAAAATGGAAAGGCATCCAAGTCTGGGATGTGTCTCAAGTTATCCCCTCTGAGGTATAGTTATCTGCTTATTCTCTCCGCTATCCTCTATATGTGACCTTGTGGGTATGCTGGTTTGTGGGCTCATTGTGGTATGACTTGACTCTTCATCAGACTTGAGAGAGACAGCCAGAGACAGTTTTAAAGCAAACAAACCAGTGGAAATTTATTAAGACGCAACTAAATAATATGTTAATTTTTGAACTACTCAATCAATCACAGCGCTCTAAAGCCATACTCAATGCTTTCCTGTCTCAATACCATCTGTTCCCGTTCTCTGTTAAATCCAAACCCTAACTGGCCTCTCACAGAGACAAGCCCTTCTTCATCACAGCATTCCCGGATATTGTAGTTCAGCCTATGATTGTGCCTTCACTGAATCTCTCTGGGGATTCTGCGCCTGTTAGTCATTCTGATGTCACTGGGGCTTCTGGGTCTGCAAGTTAGCAGGAGAGCCAGCAAGAGATTTTAAGCCCTGAAAATGAGCAGTCTGCGTCTGAAGGCCACATTCTGAAAGGCAGTTAGCTAGAGATCTCAGCAGATAAAAATGAAAGTCCAGGTGGACAGACTAATGAGCAGTTAGATAGGAGATTTACGTTCCATCAATATAGAGCTTTCTAGGAGAGTTTATGAAGGTCAAGACACATATTAGCTAAGAAGTGCTTATCGGTTTCCCAGGGGAGAAAGCATGATTTTCTGTCTATATTAGCTAGCCCAATAGATGGGTCCATCAGTCCAGGCAACACTGGTATTTGAGTATAGATCTATTATCAAGTCAAGGGATTTCTAGTTCCAAGTTCCATGTATCCTTTTGTTCATGTCTCATGATTCCAAGTTTTGAGGACTGTTCCTGAATGTCATGTTTTGGATTTATTCTGCTTTTGTATTTCTGGTTTCTGCTGCTACTCCTTTACTTTGATTTCTGTGGATTATTTCTGATATTTGGACTTTGCTTTGTTAAACTATTTTACTGAATTGCTTTATTTAAATATATATAATTGCTTTATATATATATGTGTATGTGTGTGTGTGTGTGTGTGTGTGTGTGTGTGTATGTGTGACCTTGTGGGTATGCTGGTTTGTGGGCTCATTGTGGTGTGACTTGACTCTTCATCAGACTTGAGAGAGACAGCCAGAGACAGTTTTAAAGCTAACAAACCCGTGGAATTTTATTAAGACACAACTAAATAATATATTAACTTTTGAACTACTCAATCAAACACAGCCCTCTAAAGCAACAACTCCCAAATATATATGAATGAATGAATGTAATGTTTGCTTGTGGGATTAACATAACTCAAAAACCACTGGACAAATTGACACTAAATTTGGACACAATACACATATCAGGCCATACATTATAATGCATACACAAAACTCTGTCTCTCTCTCTCTCTCTCTCTCTCTCTATATATATATATATAAATATATGCAAACACACACATACACATATATACACACATAAAACACAATATACACAGACTGGGCCACAGCAACGCATGGCAGGGGGTGGCAGGGGATGGCTGTGTATAGATCTATTTCTTCAATAAACTGCTTTGCTATTTTACTTGGACTGGAGTCTATGTTAAGTACAGAGGTGATTCCCAGCCTTGAAGTGCAATACCTGAGCTGTGATTGCCTGCCTTCAGTCAGACTTACCTAGTTTTTCATCCACATACTCAATTCATTCCACAGCCTCAGATCACCAACTGTACATTGGAGGATGAAACTGCAGGCTCCCAGGATTTTCCATCCAGGGAGGATCACCCTGTTCTGGTGAGTTGGCACAACATAGGCCTGTTCCTTCCCTCAAAGTCCAGCTGTAGATTGCTTAGATCTTACTGAGCTGGGTTACAATATAGGCAAAGTCAAAAAGCACCAATAGCAACAGCTATAGAACAAACATAGTTGTTCCATACATGGTCATGTCTACTACTTTTCCTGTTTGTAAGAAAGTGTAAAGAGCATTAGGACTGCTTGTTTCAAGCACTATGAAAAAACTATGGGTTTACTAGATTCATGTAAGGAAAAGTTGGGAATAATTTAAGGTGAGTCAGTGAAGTGTTGTGGCTTAAGTGTTGGATTATGTCTGGGGACCAGGGTTCTAATCTGCACTCAACCATGAAAAGCTGGGTGACCATGGACAAATCACATTCTGTTTCTAAATAAATCTTGTCAGGACAACCTAGTAATCCTTTTGCTTTAGGGTCACTGTAAATTGGAAATTATTTGAAGGGACACAACAACAAATTAGAGAAGGTAGATGATGGTGGTGGAGCACCTTTTCCACTAATCTACCATACATGTATGCCTGAATATTTACAAGGCAATGTTCCTAAGGAGGCATACATCAAGTCAAGCTGTTTTGTGGATTTTCTCTTTGGCTTGATATCAAGGTATCTTTCCTTCCCTCTCAGGACTGCTCTGTTGCTTCCTGCAAGATAATCCGCTGTGATATTCAGATGCTGGGGTTCCGGAAAACACCCCTGGAGTTCAGGATCAAGGGGGACATCCATTTTCAGTGGGCATCTCAGGTACAGAGGGGAGGAAGTTTTTTTTTTTTGTTTTTGGCTTCCCTGTGCTAATATTAACACAACCCCCTATTCATCCCCATTGCCAAGAGTTTCTTGGTGCCTATCAAAGAATTTACCTTTTTAATCAACCATATAGAATCTTATTTGGGGGAATATTTTGGGAACATTGAGTTCCTAAGTCTGAACAACTTCTGTCTTCCAGATCCAGCAAAAGAAAGTGATTTTGGTGAGCTCGGCAAAGATCTCTTATGATGACAAAAAGTATTCACAAAAGGAAGGCTTTATCCAGACCAAGGTAAGTGAGGCAGAGGAGGAGCACAAGTCCATAGTCATTACTAATTTGGCAGTTAGTCCTCTTTCCTTCTACTATTTCCAGGTTTCTCTTTCCTCCTCTCATTTCCCTGCATTGTTCTCATCTTACTTCAGTTGCTGCAAACTGAATTCACAATACAAAACTAGTGTGGACTCCATTAACTCAGTAGAGGGGAGGGGAAAGTAGGGAGCAGAGTCTTGAAATTCCCAGTTGGCCCAGGCAAAATCAAACTGCTCGAAACTGTTCTAATTTGTGTGTTCTTCCTGATTAATACATTTTGCCATTTTAATCACACTCTGATCTTGCTTGAGTACGTGTGCCCCAGTTTTCATCTATGAAATGTTGGAAAGTGTGCACATCTCCCCATGATTCTCACAGAAAAGGTAAAGGTTTCCCCTGCCATTAAGTCTAGTTGTGTCTGATACTGGGGGATGATGCTCATCTCCATTTCTAAGCCGAAGAGCTGGCATTGTCTGTAGATACCTCCTAGGTCATGTGGCCAGCATGACTTCATGGAGCACAGTCACCTTCCCACAGAAGCGGTACCTATTGATCTACTCACATTTGCATGTTTTTCAAACTGCTAGGTTGGCAGAAGCTTACCCATTGGCAGAAGCTCACCCTCTTCCTGGATTCAAACTGCTAACCTTTCAGTCAGCAAGTTCAGCAGCTCAGCAGTTTAACTAGCTGCGCCACCAGGGTGCCTAATGCTTCTCACAATCACGGCTTAAATTCTTGTTTGTTTGTTTTTTAATCCAATGGATGAATGTAATTGTAACTTGGAGGACAAGGACAGACCAGTCACAGCCAAGCATTTGAGTATTCTTTTTTACCACCTTATCAGATGGACCGATTTGCTTGTGCTCTGCTTGCTCTCCACTTTCGACATGGAGCACAGGGACTTTTACCCAGGCTCTGTGCCAAAAGGGGAGATCAAGTGGTGTACACCACAGTGGCGGCAACATAGGAGGATTCCTGTGTTGCCATAGGAGCAATGGAGGGGAGCCGGGTGGCGACGCTTCCCCCTCATGGGACAGGGGTCAAGGTGGGCTAGCAATACGGAGCATGGAGTGGCAGGTCTTCCATGCCTCCCACTGGGACCCCATGGATTTGACACAATGCATATATAATATATTGAGAATAGCAGATTGTGTTGACTTCCAGTTGTTGAATCAACCTTGGATGATTCCTTGGATGGGGATAAATCTCACTCTGCCCATTGTCTTTACCACTCCTTCTCACTCCAGGTGCAGACAGTGGTGGAGTGCATAGAGCACTACAATTTCCTTCCTATGATCATTGGCAGCACAGTTGGTGGACTTGTCCTTCTCGCTCTGATTGTTGCAGTCCTGTACAAGGTGAGGTGGTGCTTGGGGTGGATTCAAAAGATGGAGGGAGAGCATGGTCTACATTTCCGTCTGTTGGTGCATGTGAAGGAACAAATAAAAGAAAGCGCAACCACCTTACCACATTGAGAAATTTCCCTGTCATATGACACTTCAGCATCTTTTCATGCATGGAGCGGCACTGAGCTCATCACATGAGTTAAACTACTTCAGGTCACCATGCATAGCCCTTCTTGGCTGAAAAGAGGCAGAAGCCTCATGAAAGGAGGAAAGTCTAGCAATTGACCTCATCATATCGAGAAATTTCCCCCTCATAGGACATTTCAGCCTTTTTTCAAGCATGGAGAGGCACAAAGTCCATCATATGTTCCAAGGTTGAAAAGAGGCAGAAATGTCCTGAGTTCCTCCCTCTTATCACGCTTTACTCCAATGGTTCCAACTGAAAAACAGGTGGGATGGGAACCATCAAAGTTTCCTGTGTTGTTTCATTGCCCATCCATTAGCAGTCTCTTGTATCCAATGGAGTTTGATGCAGAACAATATGATCCAATGGAAAGAAATTGTTTAAACCTGGATCACTGTCTCTTGTACCCTATGGGTTTTGGGACAGAACAGTTTTATCCCATGGAAAGAAGTGGTTTTGAACTGGTGTCAGTCTTCTTTAATATGAGGGGCTTTGGGCAGAACAAAGGGTCTCTTGGTTTTTGAATATTGTTGTTTATCCTGATTTTTAAAAAAACTAATACTGACTTTGTGATGAATGTATTGCCAGCTCCCAGGGCCATAGCAAGGGTTAAAAGTTTAACCCTGCCCTCAAATGTGTCAGGTTAAAAAAGAAACCTTGAGTAAACCAGATTTGGGGGGGGGGGGTTGAACCCTTTTGGGGGTTAGAACCCTTAACCCCCCCCCCCCCCCCAGCTAAGGCCCTGACAACTCCTAAGTTTCCACATGTGAGTGCAGATGGGGAGGCAGAACTCAAAATGAGACCGGATGATATAAGAGGGGCAATTCTCTCGGCTAAAAGGATGGTCACCCATGCTTTTCCCTCCCAATGTGATAAGGTCGTAAGTCTCTGAACACCCATCTCTTATCACTGATATCATCTTAGCTGGTTGCTGGATGTCTCGTGCTTCATCTACACTGACCAGTTTTAATGCAGTTTGAAACTATTACTGAAGAAAGTGGTTTCATTGTGCAAGTGATTACACCTGCACAGTGAAATAAATGAATATTCACATGTATGTATGGCATTGAATTTTGCCTTTATAATGTTGGAAATCGCTTCGAGTTCCCTTAGGGGGAGAAAAGCAGTATATAAATGTAGTAAGTAAGTAAGTAAATATGTTGTTGAAGGCTTTCATGGCTAGAATCACTGGGTTTCTATACATTTTTCTGGCTGTATGGCCATGTTCCAGAAGAATTCTGGAACTTACAGCAACCCAAATAAATAAATAGGCAGGAAATCATGGAACCAGTTTGAGGTCTGAGAAGTGATTACACAAACTTCAGAGCACTGGTGCACATTAAGGGCTTTCTTTTATAGACTTTTGTGCGTGTTTGTTGTCTGGCCACCACAGTTTGAGGCTAACTTCAAACTGTATTAGATGGTCAGATACGGCCTGAATTTTGAGAAACTTGACATTTCCAGGCTGATTTGAAGCCCAGTTCTTTTCCTCTTAGGACTCAAGTGTTGAAGTGTAAAGCCCTTTTAGGAACATTAGCATCCTGGGACTTCACTTTTGTCTGTGCCTGGAAACAATTTTACCATTAGCTTTCTTAAAGAGGAATGGATTTCTTGTTTATAAAGAATTGCTTGTAATACGAGCATGGAAGCAGCGAACATGCATTGCACTTCTGCAAAATATTTTGAGAAAGTAGTCTGCACAAGTGTACGTGTTTTTTCCGTGCAGACTTGCTTTTTTGGATAGAAAATGTGCTTCCTGTCTAGAAGCATGTTTTGAACCCCCACCCCACACACAGAGTTGTGGGTTTGTTTGTTTGTTTGTTTTTTTTACAGAAAAACCACATGGATTACTGCAATGAGTAATTCTCTGACAGACTTTTAAAGGTGTGAATATATCAAATATGCACTCTAGTTTTTGCATATTTTCTCCCCGTGAGGCTAGAATGTTACCGGATATTGAACTCTTCATGTGTAGAGGAAGAATTTAAAAAACTGCACCTGTACTTTTGCCTTTACTTTCATCTGCTTCTCTTTCTTTTCTCCTTTCTCACTCATTCTCCAGGTTGGATTCTTCAAACGCCAGTATAAGCACATGCTGAGTGAGCCTGAGCCTGGCAACGAAGCCACTGAAACTATTGACCCCACTCCTCAAAGCACAGACTCCCCTCCTCCTGACAAAGGCGATGTCTACTAAGAACCTTCCTCTATGATTTTAGGAACTCTGTGACTTTCACAGGCTTATCTGAAGAATGTAAGACAAGCCCATTAGTTCATGGGCGATCATTCTGGCTAAATATGATTGTCTTCCAAAGGTAGAATCTTAGCGGTGGGCCTGTAAATAACTGTGAAGGCATCTTCTGGATCCACATGGTTTTTTATCTTCTGGATCCACATGGTCTTTCATACTGAGGACATAGGTATCCAGATGGACGTGGTCACGACAAGGTTTTGCTTGACGCGTCTTCTTCTCAGCATGTTTCTCACTTTCACCCTGTATTTGTGCTTCTTCAAAGTCCATAGCACTGTTGATAACAGCTAACCTCCAGTTACAATGCTGAAATGTCAGGGCTTCCCAGTTCTTGATGTGAAAGCTAACATTTTTAAGGTTAGCTTTCAGCCCATCTTTAAATTTCTTAAATATCTCCACCAACATTCCGTTTTGTGTTCTTAAATTGAGAAGATGAGACTAATCAGGTCAGAACTATTGAGCCCAGCATCCTGTTTCACACAGTCGCTAGCCAGATGTGCCAGGAAAAAATGCACAAGCGGGACTGAAGAGCAATGGCCTATCTCCACTGTTGTCATAGAATTATAGAGTTGGAAGAGACCTTGTGAGCTATCCAGTTCAACCCCCTGTTAAGAAGCAGGATAATCACTTTCAAAGCACTCCGACAGATGGCCATCCAGTCTCTGTTTAAAAGCCTCCAAAGAAGGAGCCTCCTCCACACTCCGAGGCAGAGAGTTTCACTGCTGAACAGCTCTCACAGTTAGGAAGTTCTTCCTAATGTTCAGGTGGAATCTCCTTTCCTGTAGTTTGAAGCCATTGTTCCGATTCCTAGTCCTCAGAGAAGCACAAAGCAAGCTGCTCCCTCCTCCCTATGACTTCCCCTCACATATTTATACATGGCCATCATGTCTCTCTCTCAGTAACTGATATGCAAAGATAGACTTTTCCCGTGGAGGTGCCATTTTGCTGTTTGGGCCTGCTGAGAAATCCAGGAATTTGATAATTGCTGATGTGAAGAGAAAGACTGTTTAAAGAACTGGGTAAAACAGAACATGAGATTATAGATTATCTGAGGTACGGTGCATGTTTTGCAGTAAAAAGCTACATCTTATTTGGGGGGATGTGTGTGATAGGACAGATGATTTCAGCTGCATTTCAGAATGCTTTTAATGTTATTCATCAAAGCTTGTCTTAATGTGTTGTCAAAGGCTTTCATGGCCG